CATTCGTGTTTTAACTTTACCAGCGTTTCCCGGATTCCCACTGTCAACGTGCCAGGACTTGTGTTTTGGAAAGACTCAAAGTTGTGAGGGCGCAACAGTTACGTTGATTCGAGGTGCTGAAGTCACAAGAATGGTGTTCTGGCAGGGCTCAGGACTGCAAAACGCAACAATCATGTTGATTCGTGGCGCTAAAGTCCCGAATGTAATGTGTTGGCACGCTTCAGGTTCTTCAAACGGTTCTCTCCCAACGAGGAAGTCCCCTCGGAGGAAATGAACCCTTATAGGGGCCTATGAAAGAGAGACCTTGGAGGGACGATGTATTCCAACATGTTTGATCTCTTTGGTGTCCACTGGTCCTCCTCCTCCTCCTCCTCCTCCTCCTCCTCCTCCTCTTCCTCCTCCTCCTCCCCCTCCTCCTCCTCGTCCTCCTCCTCGTCCTCCTCCTCCTCCTCCTCCTCCTCCTTCCTACTCCCCTTACTCCTTTTCCTCCACCTCCTGTTCCTCTCCTCCTCCTCTTCCTCATCATCACCCCTCTTTCTTCTCCTCCTCCTCCTCCTCCTCCTCCTCTTCTTCCACCTCCTCCTCCTCCTCCTCGTCCTCCTCTTCCTCCTCCTCCTTATCCTCCTCCTCCTCTGTTCCTCCTCCTCCTCCTCCCCTCCTCCTTTTCCTCCTCCTCCTCCTCCTCCTTTTTTCTCCTCCTTCCTCATATCTCCTCCTTTTCCTCCACCTCAAGTCTCCTCCTCCTTTTCCCTCCTTCCCCTCCTCCTCCTCCTCCTCCTCCTCCTCCTCCTCTTCCTCCTCCTCCTCCTCCTCCGCCTCCTCCTCATCATCAGCATATGCTTATTCACCATCGTCATCATCGTCAGCAGCATCATCATCATCGTCACCATCATCATCGTCATCATCATCTGCATCATCGTCATCATCATCACCATCGTCATCATCATCATCATTTTGATCAGTACCACGATCATGTTTCCCAACGGCGACAGAGCCAAAAGACAGGAGATAATCATGCATATCATCTCGCAAAAAATTGAGGCTCATCGCCGAGAGCGGTGACTCTCGAGTGCTGCCCAGAGCGGTGCCACCAGGGTGCTGATCACAGCGGGGGCCTAGCGGCATGGGCGCGAAGCTATGAATAAAACTGTGTTGCGACGAGGTCCTCGGCCTCATAGTCATCGAAAGGCTCGGGGTCGGAAGTCTGCGCTGGCAAACCAGGGCCTGGCTCCGAGCCTGGCTCGCTGGGCGAGGCGTGGGCAGAGGTCGCCGTCGCTGGGACAGCGCTCGAGGCTGGTAAATAAAAACCTCCACTCACAAATCTAACGGGCTCTAGAGGCTGTCGCTGATCGTCTCCAGCCAATGGCCCACCTCGTCCTCGAGCCAGCCTGCAGGGGCTACCCCCTTGTGGTGAGTCGCGACTGCCTCTGCCTTCAAGCGCCCTCTGGATGAGAGCGCGCCCCTCCCAGCTGGGGGCGCCCACGATGACCTTCATCTTCTGCGTGTCGTAGCAGCTCTCCAGGCGAATGAAGCTGACGGCGACCTCCAGGTCCGATTTGTCGATGTCGGGATCCGCCCCCGCGCCCTCGGGGGAGCACTTGCGCAGGTAGGTCCGTATCTCGTTTTTGGTGCCGCCGCCAATGGCGCACTCCATGAGGCCCTCCAGGGCCGCCAGCGCCGGGCTGGCCGCGGGGGGGCCGATCTGCTTCATCCTCGCTTTGCCCTCCGCGCCCTGCGACCGCAGGGAGTCGAGCAGGCCCATGTACCCCTCCAGCTCGGCGCTGATGTGGCTGATCACCGCGCGCTTGGACAGCGTCGTGTAGGTGCCGATGGTGGCGGGGCCCCCGCTGCATTTGCTGCCGAGTCTTGCCCTGGCCCTCGCGAGCCCTGGGGGGGGCCCAGGGGGTGGCGCCGCGCTGCTCGTGCAGGGGGCGCAGGGGCCTTCGCTGGCGGCTGCTCGTTCTCGCTCATCCTCAGGCTCAGGAGGTGGAGGCGCGGCTGGCGGTGGCGGGAGTGCCGGGGTCGCTGCTGCAAACCTGGCCCGCGTCGGCGCAGAGGACGTCGAAATACCTGCTATGGGATGAGCTCTCGAAAGTCCAGCACTGGGCGGTCTCCTTCGCGTGGACGCCTTCTCTCGCGGCGCGAGTAGCAGTCGACCCGCGGCCCGTCGCAGCTCGAGCCCGGCCGCCAATGCGTCCTGCACTGTCTGTGAAAGACGGGGAGGAGGCGGCGCAGCGAGGCCCACGCGGATGCTGGGTGGTTGTGCTCTCCACCTCTCTGCGCGATACCTTCTTGAGCAGAGAACCCGATGGCGCCGGAGGGATGCGGGTGCGTAAATGCTGACGTAGCTTAACAGGGTCATGAAATTCGAGTGTACATGCAGTGCCCACTTGATATTCCGATAATGGGCATGTTGTACATGATGAGGGCATCCATGGATAACCATGATGCGTGAGTTCCGCAATACACCTACCTTGTATCCATGCTCGTCGTAAATGTC